ACCTGAGTGCAACAATGGAGGCTCTAGACCCTTCCAGTGCTGAGATATCGAAACTCAAAATTTCGACCCGAAAAAAAAACGACAGTGTTACCCCTTACGTTTTTTTTTTGGGGCGAAAAATTAAGTATCCCCAATCTTCTCAAAACTCTGGATTCTGATAGAGGGCCATGAGACTTAGACCTGAGTGCAACAATGGAGGCTCTAGACCCTTCCAGAGCTGAGATATCGAAACTCAAAATTTCGACCCGAAAAAAAAACGACAGTGTTACCCCTTACGTTTTTTTTTTGGGGCGAAAAATTAAGTATCCCCAATCTTCTCAAAACTCTGGATTCTGATAGAGGGCCATGAGACTTAGACCTGAGTGCAACAATGGAGGCTCTAGACCCTTCCAGAGCTGAGATATCGAAACTCAAAATTTCGACCCGAAAAAAAAACGACAGTGTTACCCCTTACGTTTTTTTTTTTTGGGCGAAAAATTAAGTATCCCCAATCTTCTCAAAACTCTGGATTCTGATAGAGGGCCATGAGACTTAGACCTGAGTGCAACAATGGAGGCTCTAGACCCTTCCAGAGCTGAGATATCGAAACTCAAAATTTCGACCAGAAAAAAAAAACGACAGTGTTACCCCTTACGTTTTTTTTTTGGGCGAAAAATTAAGTATCCCCAATCTTCTCAAAACTCTGGATTCTGATAGAGGGCCATGAGACTTAGACCTGAGTGCAACAATGGAGGCTCTAGACCCTTCCAGAGCTGAGATATCGAAACTCAAAATTTCGACCCGAAAAAAAAAACGACAGTGTTACCCCTTACGTTTTTTTTTTGGGGGCGAAAAATTAAGTATCCCCAATCTTCTCAAAACTCTGGATTCTGATAGAGGGCCATGAGACTTAGACCTGAGTGCAACAATGGAGGCTCTAGACCCTTCCAGAGCTGAGATATCGAAACTCAAAATTTCGACCCGAAAAAAAAAACGACAGTGTTACCCCTTACGTTTTTTTTTTGGGCGAAAAATTAAGTATCCCCAATCTTCTCAAAACTCTGGATTCTGATAGAGGGCCATGAGACTTAGACCTGAGTGCAACAATGGAGGCTCTAGACCCTTCCAGAGCTGAGATATCGAAACTCAAAATTTCGACCCGAAAAAAAAACGACAGTGTTACCCCTTACGTTTTTTTTTTGGGCGAAAAATTAAGTATCCCCAATCTTCTCAAAACTCTGGATTCTGATAGAGGGCCATGAGACTTAGACCTGAGTGCAACAATGGAGGCTCTAGACCCTTCCAGAGCTGAGATATCGAAACTCAAAATTTCGACCAGAAAAAAAAACGACAGTGTTACCCCTTACGTTTTTTTTTTTTGGGCGAAAAATTAAGTATCCCCAATCTTCTCAAAACTCTGGATTCTGATAGAGGGCCATGAGACTTAGACCTGAGTGCAACAATGGAGGCTCTAGACCCTTCCAGAGCTGAGATATCGAAACTCAAAATTTCGACCAGAAAAAAAAAACGACAGTGTTACCCCTTACGTTTTTTTTTTTTGGGCGAAAAATTAAGTATCCCAATCTTCTCAAAACTCTGGATTCTGATAGAGGGCCATGAGACTTAGACCTGAGTGCAACAATGGAGGCTCTAGACCCTTCCAGAGCTGAGATATCGAAACTCAAAATTTCGACCAGAAAAAAAAACGACAGTGTTACCCCTTACGTTTTTTTTTTGGGGCGAAAAATTAAGTATCCCCAATCTTCTCAAAACTCTGGATTCTGATAGAGGGCCATGAGACTTAGACCTGAGTGCAACAATGGAGGCTCTAGACCCTTCCAGAGCTGAGATATCGAAACTCAAAATTTCGACCAGAAAAAAAAACGACAGTGTTACCCCTTACGTTTTTTTTTTTGGGGCGAAAAATTAAGTATCCCAATCTTCTCAAAACTCTGGATTCTGATAGAGGGCCATGAGACTTAGACCTGAGTGCAACAATGGAGGCTCTAGACCCTTCCAGAGCTGAGATATCGAAAATCAAAATTTCGACCAGAAAAAAAAAACGACAGTGTTACCCCTTACGTTTTTTTTTTTTGGCGAAAAATTAAGTATCCCCAATCTTCTCAAAACTCTGGATTCTGATAGAGGGCCATGAGACTTAGACCTGAGTGCAACAATGGAGGCTCTAGACCCTTCCAGAGCTGAGATATCGAAACTCAAAATTTCGACCCGAAAAAAAAACGACAGTGTTACCCCTTACGTTTTTTTTTGGGGCGAAAAATTAAGTATCCCCAATCTTCTCAAAACTCTGGATTCTGATAGAGGGCCATGAGACTTAGACCTGAGTGCAACAATGGAGGCTCTAGACCCTTCCAGAGCTGAGATATCGAAATTCAAAATTTCGACCGAAAAAAAAAACGACAGTGTTACCCCTTACGTTTTTTTTTTGGGCGAAAAATTAAGTATCCCCAATCTTCTCAAAACTCTGGATTCTGATAGAGGGCCATGAGACTTAGACCTGAGTGCAACAATGGAGGCTCTAGACCCTTCCAGAGCTGAGATATCGAAACTCAAAATTCGACCAAAAAAAAACGACAGTGTTACCCCTTACGTTTTTTTTTTTTTGGGCGAAAAATTAAGTATCCCCAATCTTCTCAAAACTCTGGATTCTGATAGAGGGCCATGAGACTTAGACCTGAGTGCAACAATGGAGGCTCTAGACCCTTCCAGAGCTGAGATATCGAAACTCAAAATTTCGACCCGAAAAAAAAAACGACAGTGTTACCCCTTACGTTTTTTTTTTTTGGGGCGAAAAATTAAGTATCCCCAATCTTCTCAAAACTCTGGATTCTGATAGAGGGCCATGAGACTTAGACCTGAGTGCAAAAATGGAGGCTCTAGACCCTTCCAGAGCTGAGATATCGAAACTCAAAATTTCGACCCGAAAAAAAAACGACAGTGTTACCCCTTACGTTTTTTTTTTTGGGCGAAAAATTAAGTATCCCCAATCTTCTCAAAACTCTGGATTCTGATAGAGGGCCATGAGACTTAGACCTGAGTGCAACAATGGAGGCTCTAGACCCTTCCAGAGCTGAGATATCGAAACTCAATTTCGACCCGAAAAAAAAAAAGACAGTGTTACCCCTTACGTTTTTTTTTTGGGCGAAAAATTAAGTATCCCAAATCTTCTCAAAACTCTGGATTCTGATAGAGGGCCATGAGACTTAGACCTGAGTGCAACAATGGAGGCTCTAGACCCTTCCAGAGCTGAGATATCGAAACTCAAAATTTCGACCAGAAAAAAAAAACGACAGTGTTACCCCTTACGTTTTTTTTTTGGGGCGAAAAATTAAGTATCCCAATCTTCTCAAAACTCTGGATTCTGATAGAGGGCCATGAGACTTAGACCTGAGTGCAACAATGGAGGCTCTAGACCCTTCCAGAGCTGAGATATCGAAACTCAAAATTTCGACCAAAAAAAAAACGACAGTGTTACCCCTTACGTTTTTTTTTTTTGGGCGAAAAATTAAGTATCCCAATCTTCTCAAAACTCTGGATTCTGATAGAGGGCCATGAGACTTAGACCTGAGTGCAACAATGGAGGCTCTAGACCCTTCCAGAGCTGAGATATCGAAACTCAAAATTTCGACCCGAAAAAAAAACGACAGTGTTACCCCTTACGTTTTTTTTTTTTGGGGCGAAAAATTAAGTATCCCAATCTTCTCAAAACTCTGGATTCTGATAGAGGGCCATGAGACTTAGACCTGAGTGCAACAATGGAGGCTCTAGACCCTTCCAGAGCTGAGATATCGAAACTCAAAATTTCGACCCGAAAAAAAAAACGACAGTGTTACCCCTTACGTTTTTTTTTTTGGGGCGAAAAATTAAGTTCCCCCATCTTCTCAAAACTCTGGATTCTGATAGAGGGCCATGAGACTTAGACCTGAGTGCAACAATGGAA